AGCACCATGGTCAAGTTGTTCTTAATCCCATATTATAGCTGAAGAGACGGAGACACAGAAACCCTAAGCCTAAGGTCCCTCAGCCAGAAAGGATGAAGCAGGTTCAGTGTCTAAAGCTGTCACCACTGTGGGGGCTTGTCGTTATCCTGGTGTGGAGGGCGGAGCTGGTGGCAGAGGCAGCAGCTGGGGCTCTAGGCTCTGTGTCTAGAAACCACTCCTTGAGGAGCTGGCTGAGGTTGGATGGAGGGAGCTGGGTGTGGGTCGAATGTCTGAGGTTTGCAGAAGTCGGTGTGGAACCAGAGACCCGGGAGCTGGAGGCCCATGGACCCAAAGCCCTTGAAGGGACAACCCAGTACAAACAGCCCAGCAGGAGTTCTGAGGTCCTCTCCTAGTCTTGGGCAACTTCCTGGCTCCAAGAATGAACACTTTTCATGGCTTCTCCGCACCATGGCAGAGAAAAACAGGTAGCCAGAGATGCCAGGGTTAACAACTGCTGGAGAGGGGACCCAGTCTCCTGGCTCTCCAGCCAGTGCTCATTTGGAAACGTTCTGGCTTATGTGAGGGCCACCCTGAGACAGGCGAACACCACATCTGTACTCCCAGAGCAGGAAGTGGTTTCTGAGGGCATATGTTGTGCCTGGCATCCAATGGTGGCAATGAATCATCGGCATGAGAACCCCAGGTCACCTGTGGGGTCAACAGGGATGGCTGTGTGGTACTGGGCAGGTCACTTCCAGAGCCTACAGCTACCTCTGAAACCTAGTAGCTGGTGCGGGGGTGGGGGTGGGGTGGGGGTGGGGGTGGGTGTCTGAGGTCAGCAGCCACAGCTGGTATGAGCAGGAGCTCCTGGGCATCATCGATGCCACCCTTCCTCAGCCTGTTACAAGCTCTGGATTGCATTTGGGAGAGGATTTGATTAGGCTCTGGGCAATGGCTCCATTTAGAGGTCCTGGCTCATTTCCTGTGGCTGCTAGCAGGCGAGACGAAGGCAGAATTAACCCTGTTCCAGCCTAGCCAAAGAAATGATGGATGGAGGGAAATGGACCAGGAGGGATATGGACCCTCTGGGGGTGGGGGGCAACAGCAGCCTGTGGTGCTTGGGACTTAGTGCCCTGACAGACCAGGCCAGTCTCCCTGGGGCACCCTGGCTAGATTCTTGTCACCCCAGCCTGTTACGGCAGCTTCCAAATTGGGTATCCTCGACTACTTGCACCTCCTTTACCGGAGCGCTCAACACACCCCTTGTCTGGCCTTTGTTTTATCTCTTCCTTGAGGTCTATATGACTTGTTCCCTGCTGCCTTCCAGTGCCTGTGAATAAATGAATCCATGTGTCCTGCCCCCAGGTTCTCCCAGCACTGCCCAGAGCAGGTTTGACGTAGATAACTCTTCCCATGTCATTCTCTCTGACAGGACAGTCTATACTTGCAGTTTATCCCGAGTCCTCTCTCTTTTTCTTTTGCTCTGTTTGTATCCCCTCCAGCCATTTCACACTTCTGGGGTTCTCAGGTCTCCTCTAAGGTTCTCTAGAGGATGGTCTCAAGCCACTGCCACTCCAGGTCGCTCTCCCAGGAACGCTGGCCTGACCAAACCTGCCCACGGTGGTCACAGAACGCACAGATCCTGCCTGGGAGCTTGGCCCAGAACGAAGAGTTCTGGGCCCAGTATGCAAAGCACTGACTCTGTAGCTGGGACTTGGGCATGCTTACAGCCTGCTCCCCCCCCCCCAGACCCCCACCTCGTATGTGAGAGGCCTGGGACGGGAGACAGGAGTTTTAATCCTGCACGAGTCTTCGCCTTCTTAGGTAATTCTCTCACTGCTCCCCGGGCCTCTGCTCTCCATCTCTAACATGAGACCACTAATAGCTGCCATGGTATCAGTGCGTCTCCTGGGCTAGACTCGGTGAAGAAACTGATGGAGGCATTGCCGCGCATAACCACCAGGCTCCTGAAAGCCCTTCCTGGCTGATCCCTCAGGGTTCACCCTTGCTGCAACAGCACTTCCCCTCCTGGTTTTGTTTGGTTTGGCCTCAGACTAGGGCTGAGTCGACGAAGGAGGCAGGCTGACTTGCATTTCTGGTTTGGGGCTTGTTGCCGCACTTTCCCTAAGGGGATAGGGCGGGTTCCGCCAATAGGCACCTGTGGGACAGGCAGGCCTAGGCTCTTCCCCGAGGCCCCCAGGAAAGGGGAAATTCACTTGACTCTTCGGTTAGTTTCATTCTGTGCCAGGCCCCGAGGCACCCAGCGCCTGCTTCCTTCCATCTATCTTTCCCCCAGGACCGTAAAGAGGCAAGTAGAGGTGGGGTTGTGGTGGGAGACGTGGGTGGGGGTGGGGGTGGGGGTAAGTGTGGGGTACCATGAGCTTGCTGCAGGAGAATTTGATTTTTCTGATGCAGCACCCGCCTGGAGGAATGTGATGGGTTTGGGACCGGGCTGCTGTCAGAAGCCTGTGTGCGAAGAACGGAGACAGAGTTGGGCGCTGGGCCCAGCCTCACCTCGGTATCGCGCACGTTGGCTTTGACTGAAGCGCACTGCTCAGGACCCTCAGATGCCCTGTCTCTCCCTGCAAGGTCTCTGTGCTTGGGAGCAGCCTGGAGAGTCGGAAGCTCAGCCCCTGAGTTTCCTGGCGTTCTGGAGTGGGAGGCTTGGCACCACAGAGGCCAACTCTGATCCCGGAGGTTTGGTTGCGTTTGCATCTACGGTTTTACAGGGAAGACATGCTTTGGGTTCAGAACTTCCCTGCAGATGAGTCATTGACACCGTGTCCATCCACCGTCACCACGCTCCTCTCCTGTTCTTCTCTGTGGTGTTTCTCCTGGTGTGTGGCCAGTGTGTGACAGACATCCCATTTCAAAAGGGGGCACCCGGAAGCCCAGTGCCTGCCTGGTCCTCTGTGCAATTTCAGGATCCCCTGTAGCCCTCTCTGGACTTGCCTTTCTGTCTAAGCCAGTAGTTCTCAACTTTCCCAGTGCTGTGACCCTGAAGTACAATTCTGGGTGTGAGAGACCCCTCTCCTGGAGATGGATAGAGGAGCGGGCGTCTCAGTTCCTAAGAGCATCGGAAACGTGTGTTTTCCAGTGGTCTTAGGTGATCCCCGTGGAATGGGTATTCAACCCCAAAGGGGTTGTGACCCACAGGTTGAGAACCACTGTTTCTGAGCTGTGGGGATGTAGGATGACTGGTGCTTAGATTCTGAGGGATCCCTGAGAAGTCACCTCCTGACTGGCTCCAAGATTCCCCAGGGAAGGAAGCTCCATGGAGTCACTGTGCCAGTCTTTGGCCTGGGAACGACAGCCTTGGGGTGTCCTTCCTGTTTGGGGCCAGACCATCCCATAGTCCTCTGAGGCTTCTGTTTCCTCTACCTAGCAGGGCATTCTCATTTTCATGCACGTAGATGCGGCCTCTTCCCGCAGTGTGCTTTCACATCCGCTCTGATGCTCCCAGGCGTCTGTGTGACCTCTGTCCTGCATGTACCGCACCCTGAAGCTGTCCAGAACCATAGAGGGCTCACTTAACTCCTAGAGAGGCCTAGCTGGAACTTCGCAGTGCTCACCGTCTTCAGGCATGGCCTCGTTGTCTCTGGGAAGCTGGGCAATCGCGGTTAAGTCATCGCTCTGGGGACTTAGTTTCCTTGTCTGTCAAATGGCCCTCGTGATCTCCATAGCAAGAGGTCAGAACTCATATGCTGGGGTGCCTTCTGTTGGGGCTCTGCACCAATGTGTGCCTACCATACATTCCCATGTGCTAGAGCTTCCCGGGCGCGTGGTGTGTGTGTGTGTGTGTGTGTGTGTGTGTGTGTGTGTGTGTGTGTGTGTGTGTGGTTTCCTGTTTCCTCTTTCATAAGCTTGTATAGATACTGCTGTTTGAAGAATGAAAACTGGGCTCTAAGTAGGTCTAGTTGCCGTGTCCAAGTCCCTGAGAACAGCCAGGCCTCACCCAGGCCTGAGGCCTGCTGCCCTCTGCGTGTGCCTGCGGCACTGGGGGCAGTAAGGCATGACATTCTCTATGTTCTCTCGACACCACTTCCTCTGAGGCAGCAGCAGCTTACACTCTTGTTAGGGGACAGTGTCTTTCTTTGCAAATGTAATCAATCTACTGTCAGAACCCAGTAGGAATTCCCAGGGCTCCTTCCATTGTGTGTGAGGCAGGAAATGAGGCCGTTCTTGTCTGCCTTCCTTCCTTCCTTCCTTCCTTCCTTCCTTCCTTCCTTCCTTCCTTCCTTCCTTCCTTCCTTCCTTCCT